CATTAGGCAGCCATTGTTTTGGCCAAAGTCAGAACAAAATATTATAATAAGAAGAAGCTACTGCTGCTTCTTCTTATTACAAAAACCTAGCGAAAATCACTTGAGAATGCTTAAGGTCACAGACGCGTCTCACTTTAACGGCTGCACGCCTAATTTGCAGCGCTACGGCTAAGCCACACACACGCTGGCACTATATAGAAGAGCTGAAGCAGAAGTTTCGCATTCTTCCCGGCCATTAGTTGGCAATTTATCAAAGTCATGAATTTATATATTTAAATGTCGCTCGCTCAGCCCGCAGCCAAACTGCAAATTGCAGCTGCAAAAGTTTCCCTTTTCTGGCTTGTCATAAAAGCCAGTCGAAAAGTTGAGATTGTTGCCAAAAAAGAGCGAAAAGAAAACGCCTTCGGGTGCTGTGTGTGGCGTAAGTCTACAAAATTCTTGGTTGGTTTTCAATTAGCAAATTTGTTTCATGAATAAATAAAAGTCTTTAGCCTGTGCCAGTGCCCTGCCTCGCCTGAATAACTCATGTATTTGTGATGCGATTATGTGTGCTGCTTGCAGCATTGCGAGCATAATTTGCATTTATGAGTTGCCGCTCAAACTCGACTCGGCGTCTGCTTTATATGTGGGAAATATTCTATTTCTTTTGCCAAACACTCATCTGCATATCTAATTTCAGAGGCTCAACTCTTTCAGATCTCGAGCTCAATCGCTTGGATTCCATTTACCTAACTCCTATCTGCATAGCAATTTTGAGAACTTTTAGTCAATTAGATTCAGTGTTCATTGGAGTTAATTTACTGCCTGATGGAAGTGGAAAGGCCTTTGTCGAAATGTCTGCGAAATATTTTAGATATTTTACAATCGCTTCAAGTCTTTCAATGCCGAGTTCTGCGTGGTGAGTCAAGGGACTCGATACATAGGCTGCCTGGAGCGAAATATTTTACTTAACTTGCGAAACTTTTCTCTAGATACAACGTCTATTAGATGCTGAGTTTAATAGGTCTCAGTTACTGCCTAGTTGGGGAAGGTGCTCATTGGGAGGCTATAGCCGAAGTATTTCACTCATTTAGCAAGCACTCACTGAGCCTCGAGGCTCAGCCGAGTTTAATCAGTTCATGCCCCATGCCCTATGGATCCACCTAACTGAACTGACTGGACTCTAATCAAGTTCAAGTTCAAGCTTCACAGATCATATAGAGCTCTCTAAAAGAGAGCCCTTGCACCAGCTAGTAACCACAGGAAATAAATATATTTAAATATTTATGTCGCTTAGCTTAGCTTTAAGCCAAGCTAAGCTGCTTCACCCGAATAACAATATATATACATTATAAATATATAGCTTCGCCAGCTAAGTCGAATATTACAGCATTTGAAGCATTTGCGAGTGCAAAGCTGAAACGATGCAAATAGAGAAAGAGATTTTCTCATTTCTGCATATTGTTGGCTTGCACTTAAAAACTGCTTTGACCGGGCTTCAGCTTGTTGTTATTGCTTGGCGCATAGATAAAAGATAAGGGCCCTCAAACGATGTGCCCCAATCAAAAAGCCATCCAATGAAAGTCAAAAGCAATCACTGCAAGCTGGCCACAGAAAGGGCCACACAACAGAATCTGAAAAAGCAACAATGGAAAGAAAAAAACGAAAAAATTGAAACAAGTAGCAGTGCTTAAGTGGGGAGTGAACGACTCGTATGCACCCAGAAAAAAACGAATCCAAATTTCTGTATAACTTAATAACTAAAAAAGTTATCGATAACCAATTAAGCTGATCACGAATACATATATACCTGAAAGCAACGACTTGCATTGAAGGCAAAACAATATACCCTGCTTTGCATTATTCGTCGAGTTCAGGGTATGGAAATATCCCACAGATGGCATAAACGATTCGAACCTTATTGTGGTCTATATAATGTTTGCTGTCCTGCTCTCTCTCTCTCTCTGTTCTGTTTTAGATTTTGCAATTTGTGCCATTGGACTATATGTGCATATATCAACTACTCGAATCATATTGCCAAAGGCAAACTGCCTTGCACTTGACAATGCAATTTACGACACTGCACAGACTGTCCCTTTCTCTCCTTCTATCTCCCTCTCTCTCCCTGTGCCTGCCTCTCTCTCTTTGATGCAACACATTTCTGACAATTATTACATAAATTCCTTGTAAGAGCAACAAAGCACTAATTAAGCATACGCAACGTATAGCAGCAGCAGCAGCAGCAGCAGCAGCAATGCGCCTGAGGCGAAATAGCTAAAAGCTTTGCAATGCTTTTCCAATTAATATTCAATAGCAAAACAATTCAAACAAAAATGTTGCAATAAACATCAAATTAACAGAAGGCCAACAACAATGAATAACAAAATTGACTAAATATTCGATTGGCTAAATCGAGCATATTTCATTGAACTATTTAAAGCCCTGAAGTCATTAAAATTCGTTTAAAATTGGGGTGCAGACGGCTAAGGGCGGAACTCACAACACATAGAAATATATATATATATATGCCTGACCTGAATCAATGCTCGCCTCGAGCAAGAATTTTATGTAGGCATGTCTGACTGTCAAGAGCTGAAGACTCGACATTTCACACTGCCTTTACACCTGTCCCCAAATATTTCGAAACTTTTTATATAGGGTATTTGTCAGTCGTGCAGACTCGACTACAGCACACTTACATATATTTCTGCAAAGCTTATTGCATTCCGCTCAAGTTGAATACATAAATTTCCATAAATTAATAAAAAATGTTATTTAAGCTTAAATATTTTATAGAAAATTCCACATATAACGCATACGCACTATGAGACACAGTCAAAACATTTATTTTATAGCAGATAGAAGAGTAAATAAAAACTGAGAATAAATCTGGATTAATATAAATAGAAGCAGAGCTGAAACAACACGGAAATTAAACAAGAAATACAAAATTAAATTGTATGAAAATTTTAAAATATTTTCACTCAGCTCCAAGCGATGTTACAGAGAAGCTGTTGAAATGGATCTCAGCTGCGATTATTGCTAGACAAATCAGTGGCAACATATGAGTTGCGCTGAAAGCAAGGCTTTTCCTTATTGACCACAATTGATTAGGCCAAAACTCCAGCTTTGGTTTTATGTAACTGAACTTTAATTAACTTTAGCGAACTTAAAGCTGCAGCTTACAAACTAGCCAAGAAATGGGCTTTACTTGGGTGCTCCTAGTCTATATATATATAAGTGTACATAGTTGCCTTGCTACACGTGGGCGTGGTCATAACTCTTTAGCCACTGGCAACCGCATTGTGAGTCCTTTGGATGTTTTGCGCATATTCATAATATGTTTCCACTTGCCTGATTCATTTAATTATGATTTCCGGGTGTCGAGCAAGTCTATGTGTGTGTGCTTATTATTATTATTATTATTATAATATGTATATGTATATATAGCTACTTGATTGCTATGACACTGGAAACAAGCTGACATGCCTAAAACGTCCCTTGTCAGGCAGGCAGCCAGGCAGCCAACCCGTTTGGCCAAAAGCAAAAACCCATCAAACAGCCATTCATCAACTCAACAAGCAAATTTTTGCGCTTTTGCCAGCGCGTGTGTGTGTGTGTGTATGTGTGTGTGTGTGTAGATTGGTCTGTGCAGCATCAATTTGCTTGTATTAGAAACTCATTTCCGCTTGTAATTGACTCGCTCAGCAAAATGACAACGGCTGCTGCCTTGGCTCCCAGCTCCCAGCTTCCTCCACTTAACTCCTCTCCTCCAGCTGCTGCTGTTGCTCATGTCCTTGTTGCCTTCTGCATTGGCACAGCCGTTATGCAAATTAATGAGCGTGTTGTAGCCCGAGACCACACACTCCGCCTACCCAACTAGCTAGCCAGCCACGCCCACCATGTGCACTTTACTCTGCTCGACGTGTGTGTGAGTTGGCCGAATTGATTTGCATTCCGTGGTCACCTAATGCAGGGCATTATCCCAATTTCAATTAAACTGAATGTGACTGCTGAGACAACTAATTTGTTTTTAAGCGTTCCACAATTAGATCGGAGCCCAGTGGCTGTGGCAGTGACTTGTATATATATATTACTGATCAGCATTGACAGCTCAGCTGTTGCTTTACCTAACATTAGTCAGCTTTATTCACTGATCTATATATATATATATATATATATATATATATATATATGTTTATTCTTGATCAACATCAGTTGCAGTCCTATCCGTCTGCCTAGCAGTGCTTTGCAAACTGATCATTTCTAGTTGCTTCTCTGTGTCGACCCCAGTGACAAGCATAACGACCCTGTTCGCATGGTTTAAGTAGCCAACTTTTTAGCTTTTTTTTTTTTTTTTAGCTTTTTATTGAAGCACTGAAGCCAGAAATGGGAAGTGCAAACTCACTCGGAAAATTATCTCCCAGCAACTCTATATAAACTCTATCGATGGCACACTAATACAACTGCAGTGTGTAGCCTTAATAAACAGACTCAGCTCTTACTTTTACAGTATCAGTAACGAGTCGATAGATACATATATTCTCTGATCTTATACAGCTTATATGTCTATATGTTATAGATGCATTTATGCCAGCTGCTTGGCATGGTTGTCTGGGTATTAGCTAGTCGAGCACTCCTCTTCCGTTTACCATTTTAAGTCCGCTCAGCGATTACGTATCAAATTTGAGCTGTTCTCACACAAAAAGTCTATGAAGTGTTACTCAAAACATATGTATATATATATACGATATATATATATATATATATATATATATATATATATATATATATATATATATATATATATATATATATATAAACATAACTGTAAATGCAGATTCATTGGCTTCGAGGAGCTTTCGAAAATACTATGTAAAGCCCATGCAGCTAAGGCAGTTGTTAGAGCTATGTATGTGAGAGATTTGTATGAGGTCTATATATAGAATTAGTATTACTGTTACTGCATGTAGTATTCATATCTAATATGCATATGCTTATTTATATTTGTGTATTCGCAGAGCCATCGCCGCTTTATGATAACAATCATTATCATGAGGAATGTTTGCGCTGCAACTCGTGTGGCCTCAATCTGACTGGGCCCAATCAGAAGCGCGCCAGAAGGTTTAAGGTATGTGCTAATACACACACACACACACGCATTTAGAGGCAATACACGAAGCTCATTTTGAATGCATTTGCTCATATTCTGCGTTCAGGTCATTAGGTGAACAATTTACGCATGAAATGTGAAATACGATTTGATTTACTTTTCATTTCACTTTTGGTATTCCCACACACAATCACACACATACTCACATATGCACGGAGATTGTTAATAAAGTCAATTACATTGTTGTTGTTGCTGCTGCTGCAGTAAAGTTGCCTTTAAAAGAGCAGAAAAAACTGTCAGCATTTGCAGCTAGCTATGGCCGACTGCTCAATACACTGTTCACAGGGACATCTTCAGAGAGGGAGAGATAGCCTACGTCTTTCATATGGAAAGTATTCTGGCTCTGGCTGTCAGCCTAAGCTTTGAGCTTCACTTCACTCCTGGCGAACTGCTGTTCAGCATTGAGATGATAGCTAAGGATATCATTGGACGTTGTTTTCTATAATTTAGCTGGCTGTGGTTCGCAGAAACTGGGCCTCAAGGTCTATTACCCAAAATAAAAGAATTCGCCCGATTTCAATGCTCTAATGGCACAGACTCGAATCTTAGGCTTTACTTGGGAAAGTTGCGACATCAAATAACAATTTTATATCAACTAATGGAACTAATCAAGCTCTGCATAGTACAAGATATTATTATATAAATTTCTTTTACGTGCAACAAAGCACTCATTAAGCATACGCAATGTATAGCAGCAGCAGCAACAGCACTGCGCCTGAGGCGAAATAGCCAAAAGCTTTGGACTGCTTTTCTGATTAATATTCAATGGCAAAACAATTTAAACAAAAATATTGCAATAAATAAAAAATTAATATGAGACCAACAGCAATGCGCAACAATAGCCTTTTCTGACTAAAAATTGACTAAATATTCAATTGGTCTAATTTTATTCGACTACTCAAAGCCATTGAAAATGGCTTAAAATTAGTCTGCAGGCAGTTAAAGACGAGGCTAACAACATAAAGTAGTTTCTATATGCCTGGCCTAAATCAATGCTCGCCTCGAGCTAGAACAGAAGGTCTGTCTGTCTGCCGACGAGCTGAAGACTTATGAAGAGTTTATTAATCATCCAATACCAGTCGCATCTACGACACATCAGAGCAACGAATACACTCCATTCTATATGTGTACAGTGTATTGAGTAGGTTGCATACTGTGCCAGCTGCTCCGTTGGCAGCTCGCTTAGTTCGCAATGTGGCAACAGCAACAAATAATATAAATCATTTACACACATAACTCTCTTAGTCACTCTCACTCACTCACTCACTCTCTTTCTCCTGTTCTTGTGCTTATTTTTTGAATACAGAACCAAATACTGTGCGATCTGCATTTCGCCGACGTTGCCCTAATGGAGTGCTCGGATTTTATGCAACAGCTGCGCAGCTTCAAGCCGCAATCTCTGGGCTGTGCGGTAGCCAGGCGCAAGAGCTCAACGACGTTAATATTTCCACTGCCGCCGCAAGCTTGTTCAGGTATGTAGTCACATTTCGTTACCTCCCCCCTTCCCTATCTCTCTCTCTCTTTTTTATTTTCATATATATATATATGTACTTTTGTGCTTTCTCCCGTTTGGTTGTAAAAGCCAAATTGTGCCCAGCAGCGCTGGCTGGCAGAACGCAGTGCCAGGGCCAAATGTGGCTTACAAAGCAAGCAGGCAACACTTTGGCCCCGCACCCTTACACACGCACACACACACACACACGCTTTCTCTCTCTCTCTCCCTCACTCTCTCGCTGTCCTACCCTTTACATATGCGGCACATATAGTCTTTTTAGCTCATACCCTGTGCACATAGAGAGAGCAGCAGTAGCAATGCGACTTTAACGTCTTGTCAAATCTAGTATGTTTCCCATTATAATTAAAAGATAACAACATATTAAATTTGGCAGGCTGTTTAAGTGGCTGTCAACTTTGGCATGTGATCGGTAACTGAAAAATGGAGTTGCAGCAATGGAAATACGAACTTAATTTCGCCGTGTTAAGGTGCCTGTCAACATTTGACATCACAACTAACTCAATGTTAAGCTAAATTGTTGAAAATCGATAGCAAAAATCGATAGTAAAGGGTATCTGGCAGTCGTCGACAACAGAGCTGTAATACAATATCCTTGTGTGTGTGAAGCTGCCGGCGCCATCATTATAATTCAAATGAGATTTGCGCGCCTAGCAATCCACACACCCATAGAGATAGAGAGATAGAGAGAGAGAGAGAGAGAGAGAGAGAACGCGAGCAACGGGAAGAGAGAGAGCTACATATTTGCAGTGCCTGAGCAGGGAGCAGACATAGAAAAGCGCTTGCAAGTCCACAACTTGAAGAATGTTTGGCATTTTGCACAATAAAGTTGTTCAAACATATTTCGTGTAACACACACACACACACGCACACACACATGCGTAACATAGAAAACATTCGCCATTTTTCCGCCGACATAAACTTTTAATTCAGTTTTCATTTTCCTTTATTTCCTTTCATATTTGACAAAAATAATAAAAAACCAAAATAGAATTGAGCCCATTTAATTAAAGGGGTTCCAAGATCTATCTCTATCTCTATCTCTATCTCTATCTCTATCTCTATCTCTATCTCTATCTCTATCTCTATCTCTATCTCTATCTCTATCTATCTCTATCTCTATCTCTATCTCTATCTCTATCTCTATCTCTATCTCTATCTCTATCTCTATCTCTATCTCTATCTCTATCTCTATCTCTATCTCTATCTCTATCTCTATCTCTATCTCTATCTCTATCTCTATCTCTATCTCTATCTCTATCTCTATCTCTATCTCTATCTCTATCTCTATCTCTATCTCTATCTCTATCTCTATCTCTATCTCTATCTCTATCTCTATCTCTATCTCTATCTCTATCTCTATCTCTATCTCTATCTCTATCTCTATCTCTATCTCTATCTCTATCTCTATCTCTATCTCTATCTCTATCTCTATCTCTATCTCTATCTCTATCTCTATCTCTATCTCTATCTCTATCTCTATCTCTATCTCTATCTCTATCTCTATCTCTATCTCTATCTCTATCTCTATCTCTATCTCTATCTCTATCTCTATCTCTATCTCTATCTCTATCTCTATCTCTATCTCTATCTCTATCTCTATCTCTATCTCTATCTCTATCTCTATCTCTATCTCTATCTCTATCTCTATCTCTATCTCTATCTCATCTCATCTCTATCTCTATCTCTTATCTATATCTCAGATCTATCTCTATCTCTATCTCTATCTCTATTCTCTATCTCTATCGCTATCTCTATCTCTATCTCTTGCTCTATCTCTAGCTATGTCTCTATCTATATCTCTATCTCTATCTATATCTCTATCTCTATCTCTATATCTATCTCTATCTCTATCTCTATCTCTATCTCTATCTCTATCTCTATCTCTATCTCTATCTATATCTCTATCTCCCGCATATCTCTATCTCTATCCTATCTCTATTCTATCTCTATCTCTATCTCTATCTTATCTCTATCTCTATCTTATCTCTATCTCTATATCTATCTTATCTCTATCTCTACTAATCTCTATCTCTATCTCTATTCTATCTCTATCTCTATCTCTACTCTTCCTATCTCTATCTCTATCTTATCTCTATCTCTATCTCTATCTCTATCTCTATCTCTATCTCTATCTCTATCTCTATCTCTATCTCTATCTCTATCTCTATCTCTATCTCTATCTCTATCTCTATCTCTTTTGCATAGCTTTGATTTTACAGGGTATCCACGCACCCTGCCTATGCTCACTCTTACACTTTTATATGAGCTCCACCTTTTTAATAATCCTCGTATGTATATTGACTGCTAACCGGACGGATGGACGGTCAAAAGTTTATTAACTGCATTTTATTGCGAAACTTTTCGTATTGGCCAAGCCCTGAGCTCCCCCATGCTCATCTGTTGTCAGAGCCGTTTATTTACCGTAGATTTTAATTATGCTTTTTTGCCCTTTGAGCGTAAATAGAGAATGACAGCGAAACGAGCTGTCAATGCTCCTCCACTCAGATCAAACAAACTGAATGAAATTTTAACTTTTATATCAGATAACGCTCGAGTGAAATATTAAATATCGAACTATGTGCTCTTAGCACTGCTTCGGAAATAAGTTGTAGACGAAATGCTACATCAAGTATCTTTGTATACACTTTTAAAATATGGATAACCTTTTCCATTTACATGAAATTGAGAGAAAGAAAGCTTTTAATATCACTAGAGCTTTCATGCACTTTGAAAGCTCCACTTTTTGCTAGAGATTTTCAGTTAAACAGCCTTAAAAGCGCCCAAGACTTGTGCAAGCATTAAGCTATATAAAAATATATATATATATATATATATATTTATATATATATATATTATCGATATTTATTTATATGCATATACATAAATCTTGTTCAGTCTAGCAACTCTAAAAGCTTTGCAGCTCTAGCTAGATACACATTTTGAGTCGCAAAGCACTTGTGTCTTGACTTTGTACAAATTCAAATATTTTCGCTTCGTCTTCTTCTCCTTCTACTTCTTCTTCTTATTGCTAAATTAAGTTTTTCTTTGGTTGTTCAACGATTAATCTTCGTTTATTCCATTCAGCTTCAGTTGCCATTGTCTTCCCACCTCTCTCGTTGATTGTTTGTCCTTGTCGCAGCTTTAATTCATTGCATTCCCATTTGCGAAGAGGTTAAGAGTGGGTTGGTGTGGCATGCAGGCAGGGAGTGCGTAGGAGGCGTATGGGGCGTAGGAGGCGTGCTCGGAGCCATAGGAGAGGCGTTAAGTGCGCTCGTCTAAAGTGATTTGATGCGTGTCACATTCGAGAGTGCGAGTGCTGCTTAGAGAACTGCGTGACATATTTGTATTCAGCACTTCAGTGCCAAAAGGCAGCAACTGACACGCACTGCAAATCACACGCACAGAGAGGGGGAGAGACCTGTGCACACAAGTGCAGCTCGCATGCATTGTCAACAAAAATGTTGAAGCAAACTTTTGTCGAGCATAATGCCCATGCATATAGAACGCCTGCCCCCTGCTGCTCCGGCTATCCTGTCCACGCTCCAGCTATGCCTCTAGGCACGCCCCACAACAAGTGCAACAACAATGCCTTTGTGCAGCAAATGCCTTTTAACTGTGCTTTTATACCCTTTTAACCAGGGAATGGCGAAAAAAAATGCCAAAACGGAAACGAAAATGGGCATTGCTAAGTTTGTTAAATACGATCTTAAAGATAGAACGAAATACGAAAGTGTGTACAGGGGAAAGTGTGGTCACAGAAGTCTGAGCTCTATCTGCGGAGAAGAAGGATTACTTCTGACATTTGACGAATTCAACTTTGAGAATTTGGAATGAATTTGTGTTCCAATTGCCTAAGCCCACAGTGGACGAAGAGCTTTAGCTTAAAATTAATCCCAAGAGGCAGTCTGGAGTAGATTCAATGTTTAGCACCTATGGAACAGAAATCTGAAAGAAATATTGTTTTTTTTTCCGATTTTCTACGAACACAGTAGAAGTTATAAGTTCTAAATGACATGGTTTACTTTCATGTCGGACGGACAGATAAACGGACGAATTGATAGACGGACGGACGGATGTTCAGACCGATAAAGGGATGGATAGACGGACAGATAGTCGGATGACAGTCGGACAGACAGAAGGCCGGAAGGACAGCGGTTGAGCAGTCGTTAGAACAACAAAATGTACCAAGCCAATATACTCCTTTCACTCAGTAAGCGAGGGTAAACAACCAGATTGAAGCTAGTTAGAGTATTTGACATAGAAGCCTATTGCTAGCAGATATCCATGATATTTATCAAATTATATTATCGATACATAACTAAGAGAATATACCCCAGTGTAGGGTACAGAGAATAGGGAGAGGAGGACAAATTTGCTAAATCTCGACCATATGCATCCGAAGTTTCATATCGATAGATTTTATGGAAATGCAAAAAGTTATCGATAGTTTGCAAGAAACGGGCAGATGTTGATGTTGATTGGGAATATTGCTTGAAGCCAATATACTCTCTTCCTGGCTTGAGTTCGTGCAGAGTATTGCTGTGCCTGGGCCCACACACAAATAGATGAAATTATGCAGTAAATACATCATTTAGAATGCTGATCCATATAAACGCATACGCGGCGTAATAGCAGGCGAGAGTTATAAACACGTATTATGAGACAGCCCCACGCAATAGAGAGAGAGAGAGAGAGGGTGGGAGAGGCAGAGTGAGCGAGACATGTGTGTGTACGTGACAATTAAATTTATGAAGCGCCATACAGAAAAAGTCGAAAAGAGACAGAGACAGAGACAGAGACAGAGACAGAGAGAGATAGAGAGAGAAAGTCCAAGTTGAAGTCCAAGTCCAAGTGCAAGTTCAAAAGCCAGTTCAGCATTCGCTGTCGTCTGAGCCTGGCGAATGGGCGCGTGACTGCTGCCAAGAAACGCCTAACTTGGCCCATTAGCAGCCAGACGGGGCCATATCTGGCAACGAGGTGCGGATCAAGCAGCAGTCGACACTCAACTCGACTCTGACAACAGCGGCAAGGGCACCACGTGGGAAATAAAGCTGGCAAACACAGCTGTCAAATGGAGTTCCAAATGGAAGCGGACCCCAAACTAACCTTAATAATCTTAACGGCAACCCGCCGCCCGCCGCCCGCCCTGCCCACCTCTGCACAATTGCCCAAGAAGTATTCAGTTCAATCGATAGCAAAGCCAAGCCAAGAAATCGATACAGCATGATAGCAGACATTGAGATGTGTGTAAAGTGCGGCTTGGAGATGTAACGAAATCGCAATTATAAAAGTCTAAGTCAATCAATCAATCAATCGAACAACGATTGCAGCTTCTCCAATCAAACTTAGAGTCCTACCCTCGCCCTCTGTCACCGTCTAGCAGATATTCCGGCATTGTACACAGTGTGGGCATTACATACACTTGCTCACATTATCTCTTCCGTGCATTACAAATTATTGTAATCATAAATTCCATTTTACGCTCGTCTGCCAAGGCATTTTACATTTTAATATGCATTATTAATTGCTCGAGAATATTTTGCGGCAGCAAAAAAAAAAAACTAGCCTCAGGCACAGTCTTAGCCCTCGGCGGCTGCTTCTGCTACACCTTTACATCCCCTCGTACTTCCTTCACTCCCGCTGCCCTTACTCCCTCGTATACCCCCTACACCCCCAGCATCCCCTACAGCCTCTGCATTTCCTACTTCGCCTATATTTCGTACTTTGCCCACATTTCGCTACATTCTTTACAGCCGCCTGCACTTCCTACATCCCCTACTTCTACTACACCCCTAATCGTGAGCCTGTCACTTTGCCATTTAGCAATTGTGTTCATGCCACGCCCCGCTGTCGTTTTTGCCACAATAAATTCAAGAGCAGACACAGCAACTCAGCACGCCAAAAAAAAAAAAAAAACAAAAAAGGCAAAAGATTTCAAGCGAGTCAAGCTAAAGTCTCAAATACCCTGTAAAAAAAAGAAACTCTAAGCTGCCAAAACTCTTCAATAAAAATGATAATTGAAGTTTACATAATTCGAGTTTGATTGAATGATTGATTAACTGATTGACTGATTGAGCCACTCAGAAGTCTCTGAAAATCTAGAGTCAGAGAAGCTGGAGGTAAAGCCTCTGCTGACTGAAGATACGTATTCAATATTCTCTTCAGCAAGAAGCTAGATCTCCACTTCTTCGATTCCCAACCAGATGCACGCACTCATATGCCCGCTTTCAGCAGCTACGTGGCATTTAACAATGACACAAAAAATTGAAATATAAATTATTTGGCTGTCGCGTCCATCTATTTGTCAGCTGTGCGTTCCATTTGTTAGTTACCCTTGGCGCAACTCTCCTTCTCTCTCCCCCCTCTCGCCCCTCTCTCGCTGTCTCCCTGCACCTTGAGTCCGCCTACTCTGCGGCTATTTTAATATTTTAATATATCCTGGCACGCATTTCATCTCATTATTTGCGACACGAATCGCGCGCGCGGCTTTTCACGAAACATGAATATAAAATATTGTGCGAGCGCGCAGATTTGCCCCACCTCCAGCTTTTCATATTAATTTATGGCCGTGGCTTTTTCTTCATTCAACATGCCGGCAATTAATTAATTGCCGGCCATTGTCTGGCCAGGGAGCATGGCCGTGATATGTAGCTAAGTGGAAAGTAAAGTCCTGCATTGATTGCATTTGCTCAGCTTTTCCCAATTTCCCAGTTTTCCTCCTCGCTATTCCATCGCTCTGACAGTTTATTTTAATTAGTTTCAGTTTGGCAACAATGCAGCAGCTACGCAGATGTATACACTGCTAGAAAAGCTAGCTGTTTTGTATCATATACAAAATGCCTTTATCAATATTAAATCAATTTGCTTCCAATTAGATATTTAATTGACTCCAATTAGACTTTGTTGTGCAGTATATATATATTTATAATATTCATATCGTATTGCCTTACAGTGTAGTAAGGAATTTGCAAAGGAGCTCAAAGCGTATTTTCAAGCTCAATTTCAAGTTGCTGCACAACGCTGCGTATGCGCAATGCCACAATTTCCATACGCACCGTTGGCCAAGTCGAAATTATTTTTAATTAAAATTTGACATTAATTCGCATTTAATTGAACAAAGAGCCAGAGAATGACATCGAATATTAAAGTGAATGCCAAGTCAATAAGCTACGCAGTGTGAAACACAGCAGGAGTGATGCTGTTTTCGAACATTCTTACGCTGCAGCTGCTTAGGTTGGCAATATCAGTTAGATTTTCAAGTATTTAAAATGTCTTTACATTTGACTATGTTTCAGCTTACGAATTTGTGGAAGTCATGTCATAGAAGCGATGCAGCACTGAGACCTTTGAAGCAGAGGGATCAGTCGCTTCGACAGCTCTCGAATATTTTCCCTTGGGCAACATCACATCCCACATTCGGGAGACCTCCAAGCAGATGTGCCAATCCGTACAATATGTTTGCCATTTGTGAAGCTTCTCAATGCCCATCAGAGCCTGAGTCAAGCTCATAGTTGCTTTCTTATCTCGCTCCATGGTTCATATCTGGAGCTTTTATAGTTGTCAAATGCGAATCAATGCCTTATTGATAGCGTCTTAATTGACGTAATTATAAGTTGGCACAGTAAAGCAAAACTTACCAAATTTTATCAATATATTGTCTGCACAGGTGTCTACAGCCCACAAGGCACTCTTATCTTTGCGTGTGGGTGTGCCTTTGCAATTATTATGCTGCTGACATGGCAGAAAGAGGCGACGCTGCTGCTATGGGTGAGGTCTTTGCCACACCGCGAGGCAAGTGGCTTGTGTTCGATAATGCCGCACGTAGCACGGCGACAAAAGCACATTGCTGCTCAGACTATTAAAGCAGGCGAAAAAAGCAATTAAAATAAAATCAATAGTCGCAAAACTTGACTTCAACATTCTCGGACAACGTCTGACACAAATGTTCAGATAAGACATTTCAAACTGTTCCAGACTATCTGTATAAATATAATATATGTGTTTTTTGCCTGCAAACAATATTATCTTTTTGTTGAAAGCAGTCCAACTGCAGCTTCTCAGCTTTGCTTCTGGAAGACTAAATTTTAATTATTTTAACACTGGAAAGTATTTTCTTAACTATAATTAATGCTTTGTAACGAACGATAACTATCGATGTTATGCAAGCAATCAGTCTATCGGATAGCTATCGATATTGTGCAAGCAATCAGTCTATGGGATAGCTATCGATATCATACAGGCAAGTAGCATGCCCGATAACCATGGATATAATGCAAGCTACAGTCTAACCGATAACTATCGATACTAAGCAAGCCAGCAGAGTACACGATAACTATGCATATGATGCAAACAAGCAATCTAACCAATATCTATCGATATTATTGAAGCTAATTTTCTAACTGATAATTATCGATACTTATCGATTACTAACAAAAACCCAAATTGAGCAAAAAAGCTGCTCAGATACAGGTAAAAGGAAATTTTGTCTTTTAAAAACTTATCGATTATCAATTTATAATTGTATATATCAGCTTTGTTGCACGAATATACAAAAAAAACATATTTTAGCCCTAAATCTTAGACTATAACGGATTCAAACAGAAAGTATTATATTTGAAGACCGATATCTATCGTCATATCGAGTATACGCCACCTAAAACACACAGCTCCTTCACTGCTCGAGCAGAAGAAGCACATAGTGATAAATGCCTGGACCCTAGGACAGCGACCAGCCAAGCTGTCGATGGACGGCCAGAGCATTGTGGATCAGCTGCTCTTTGAAGCGCCAAATGTTGTCGTCGCGCACCGGCGGCGGCTCCTTGAGTTCGTTTACGTCGTCCGGCTCGCGATAATGCTGCATTTGGCCCAGGGCGACGGAGACATCGTGCGGATAGCATGCCCCCCGCCAGCTCAGCGGAAAGTGATTGTGCACTGCGGTCACATAGGCCGTGGCATGCAGGCATTTAACGGCTGAATTTTCATCGGAATGCCGTGCCACGCGCTGCACATGACGCAGCATGTAGAAGCGAGCCGGCGGTGTCTTGTCCTGCTCCAGCTCTCTGGAGTAGTAAATGTTGCGAAAGCACAAGCTGCAGTGGACCAAACAGTTGCTGTCGCCCTGAGGTAGTCCGTTGTTGTCGCCGTCTGGATTCTGTTCGAGTCGCTCGACCAATGCCGTCCAGTTGTGCAGCTGGCCCAGCGGCATGATCAACTCGTCCACATCCATCACAGCCAAATAATCAAAGTCGTACATATTGCGATAGAGGCAATCGTTGTACATGAGCACCTCGTTCAGTCGTTTGTTCAGCTGCACATGAATCGCCGGCTTTGCTACGCCCTCGAGCAAGCGGAATGGACGCAGCTGCACCAAGCCGTCGTGTTCCTCATAGTGGCGCAGCGTGCGAATCGTGTTCGGATGCAGAGTATTACCACCCAAATAGTAGGCCGTGACTCGCTCTGCGCCCAACAGACGCACCATCTCCAGCCATTCGACGAAACGTTCCGACATATCCGCATCAGGAAATTGTAAGTCCTTGACACAGACACCAAAGCGCAGCGAACGCCGTCGCTCCGGTGCTTTATAGTAAACACGCAGCGCGTTGCTGGCACGTGCACAGCGATCCTCGAAGACCACTGACACCAGTTGTGGTACGCGCTGACGACGTGCGCCACCAACTAGGGGGCAGGTGAAGAGCACCGGATAAACCTGATCGGATCCGAGGCCCCAGCTGTCGTACCACGCATTGTCCTGTTTGGTCATCTCCAGCAATTCCGGCCGATTGCTGTTCTCATACCAAACCTGGCAAAAAGTGCGCTCGAAGGGGCCGTGAAAGTGGCTAATCATGCCCAGCAAAACGATGCTCGGTGGCCGGTCGACGCTCAGCCGGCGATCGTAGAATGCGCTATACAGATAATAGCTAACATTGCCACCTTTGCTGAGTTGATAGCATTCATTCTGAATGTTCAGATCTTCGAAGCGTGGATAAGGTGCACAATGCTCATCGAACGACCAGCCACGATGCGCATTGTCGCGCAGCAGCTGCTCCACTGCCTTCAGCTCATCCGCGGGCCCTTCGATCTTCGGTTTCGCCTTCAATGGGGCTAAGTGTGTGGGTTGGCTGAACATTATATTGCCATCGGCTCTTCAGAAGGGACTCACTCACCTGGCGGTACTTCGAGCATGCTATGTTTGCTTATCAATTTGGCTCCGTGTCCGGCTGTGCGATCGGACGTTAGCCGTACGGCTGGATGCACCATTGCCAGCATTTTAATGCCAAAGGCTGCCAAGAGAATCCAGGCCAAGACCTTAAGCCATGCCGACACCTTGTACACCTTCATCGTGCAGCTGCGTATCTTTTATGACAGCGTCAGGTGCACAGAAGCTGACTTGCATCTTATGTGACGGCGTGCAAATGAGTCTGAACTGACGAGCTCATGCCATGCAGCTGTCTGCTCGACTAAGAGTTACCCTGCACTTGTTAAAGGCCGAATCATACTCAGTCAGGACGTAGCTAGCCATCGATCGGACGGACTCTATTACGACCTGATGACCTTCTGATGATGACAGACAGAAGAAACTCAAGGCGTTAGCTCCTTTAACAGCATTATCATACCCTTTACAACTGCATTCTTGATAGGTGTGGATTCTTGCTACACAATCAGCTAAGTGAAGTTTCTATTTTAACACAGAACTGATAGGGAGTTGTTACTTGGCTTTTCGCATTGACCTTCAATGTCTGCGACAAGCTGTCACAGAGAGCGAGAAAGGGCACTGCCAGATCGCATTGCTACGAAACAGATCGATAAAATTAAAGTCATAAACCGAACTGATACAAGCTTTGAAACAAAATGGAAATGAAACACTTCGAATTTTGAAACAAGCTGGAAATGGAACAGCAATATAAAAACTGCAAATTACAGCAATAATACGATAATGCTAAAGAGATATTAAGCATGAAATATAGTGGGAATTGAACATCAGCACTGAAACGAAATGAAATTGGAACAGCTGATACATTAATTTTAAGGAAAAAACTAATAAAGCGCTTCAAATTAAAGTAATGCGATAATATATAATAAAGCAGGAAACAAACTGAGCACAAAACACTGAGGCAAAAATTGTCATAGGAATAAAACGGAATGGAGACACTAACAAAGGAACTTTAAACAATTATCTATGCATAGATTAATTGCAATAAGGGATAATATAGCATAAGAAACGAAAGGATATGGAACACTGACTGCGCAAGAAATTCAATTTGGACTCTTGACAGACGCACGCATTTAAATAATTAAGGCGCAGAACGAAATGAATATGGAACAATTAGTTGTGAATGCCAAATACAGTTTGCCTTTCCGTCAAGAAAGAAAGTGGTTGAAAATTGTCAGCCCCGTCAGCCCCAAAATACGCTTAAATGGAATACAACAGAGAGTCGCCCCACTCTTGGCTTCATGGCTGAAGTTCAGATGTCCACGCGCATTCAAGGGTCCTAACAAGCTGCAAACAAGGCTCAAACACATGGCCGGCATTATTATGGATGGCAGCGTTCCGTTAACGCCGCCAATGGCCACAATGACAAAAGAAACAACCAATTCGCCATCAGCCAACGCCAACCCCAACTGCCGCCCCTTGGCCATTCCCTTTTGCAGCCATTCTTATTTGGTGGGGAGCGACATTCGCGTCACCTGCATTAAATTATTGATTCGATTTCGCGCGCGGCTCGTTTTCTATTGTGGTAAATATTTGAGGCTGAATGAATTGTGGTCGGAGAGTCATTGTCAAAGTTGGCGCCGTTGCCACAGCCAATTCCTGTTCATCCCCTGCACACGACCGACAGGCCCAACCAGTCACTCGGTTAGTCAGTTAGTCAATTTTTCATATGCCCTTTGCCACGCCCAGCAGAGCAACAGTAACAACAACAATAACAATAACAACGACAACGACAACGGCAAACACCATTGGAATCAAATTTATGTGCGGTGTGTCGTCTACTCGAGTGTATGCCTATGTGTACGACTGTATCTGTGTGTGCGTGTGTGTGTATGTGTGTGTCTATTCACCAGGCAGCAAACAAGACATAATCAATCACTTAACCCCGAAAAAAAGCAGGCGCACCAAACGTTCGTTTCAATTAAAGTTTCGCTTTCATTCACTTAGCCCAGCGAGCAGAGTAAAAGTGAAAATATAGCCCGGCCTACACTAAGCGAAATACTTATACTTATACTTATACTTATACTTATACTTATACTTATACTTATACTTATACTTATACTTATACTTATACTTATACTTATACTTATACTTATACTTATACTTATACTTATACTTATACTTATACTTATACTTATACTTATACTTATACTTATACTTATACTTATACTTATACTTATACTTATACTTATACTTATACTTATACTTATACTTATACTTATACTTATACTTATACTTATACTTATACTTATACTTATACTTATACTTATACTTATACTTATACTTATACTTATACTTATACTTATACTTATACTTATACTTATACTTATACTTATACTTATACTTATACTTATACTTATACTTATACTTATACTTATACTTATACTTATACTTATACTTATACTTATACTTATACTTATACTTATACTTATACTTATACTTATACTTATACTTATACTTATACTTATACTTTACTTATACTTATACTTATACTTATACTTATACTTATACTTATACTTATACTTATACTTATACTTATACTTATACTTATACTTATACTTATACTTATACTTATACTTATACTTATACTTATACTTATACTTATACTTATACTTATACTTATACTTATACTTATACTTATACTTATACTTATACTTACACCTGTACTAATACACTCGTGTTTTCGCTCAGTGTAACACACGCTTAGCCTACCATTTTTTTCGGTCTGTGTTATGTGTGCAGAGTGGGGGATTTTGTCGCAGGCATTAAGAAGTGGGCCAGGGGATATGGCTCAGCGACGGAAGCAACCAATTTCCGGCTGCAGCTAGCGCCCTAGTTCACTTTGCATACATTTAGGCGCTTTAGTGTGCCTCCGCCTCGACTCGAGTGTGGATGGCGGGTGGACCGAGCGCTTCAGCCAGTGAAACGATAAAGCTGTTGCTGTTGCTGCTGCTGTGACTGCGGCTGCTGATGCTGGTGCTGTTATTGAAGGAATGACGCACTCAAAATTCAAAATTCATTGAAGCGCACGTTCGCAATGCCAAGCGCATAAGCCCAACTAGCGTACAGTGCGCCACCGCTTGCGCGCATATCACAGTCAATTTGCTAGATGTATTTATATTTATAACGGCAAGTCCTTTCGAATCATTAAGATTTCAATGCACTGCAGCATTATTGATTAACCCTTGAATAGCTTTTGGTGGCAGCCAGCGCCTAGCCAGGCACCCGCCCACGCTCCCTTTTTGACATGGCTCAAATCCTATTTCGCCGCACACATTTAGCATAATTTAGCACTTCATTACGAGGCACAAGGCAACTGCCACAAAGCAAAAGCCGCAAGAACCCCAGCAAAACAGCTGCCAGCTGAAAGTTTTTCGCCTCACTCCCCCCGCGCCTCCTTTCATGTGGTGACTTGATGGCAAGGCTTATGCGATTTGTCGCGCATAAGCAAATTGACAAAATCTTAAATCTCAAGCTGCAGGTACGAGGAATTATATGTGTTTGCATTATATATCCCGAGTGATTATGCCACGCTTTCACACACACACCCACACACAATTGAAATTGACAGAAACTTGTGTCATATTCACTCGAATTTCAGCTATTTTGTGTCAATTTCTGGCAAAAGTTTTGCAAGCTGAAAACTTTTGAGTACGCTTCGCTGACATATTCTTTTCTCTGCACACAGATACACATGTATCTATGTACGTGTCTATGTGCGTATATATTATTTTAAGTATGTCCTCAAGCATGTGCTGTCCCATTCATAAGCACTTTGACAGTTGTTTGAAAAACTAAACGCGTCTGGCTCAACTTCGTATCTCTCGATGGGCTTTAAAGTTTCGACTGTTTTCATTTGATATGTGGGCTTTATAAGTTGCCTACTCCACTTTACTTGCCACGAACTACATTTAGATTAAATCTAGCTCAACTAAACTAAAAACGAAGTTCCCAAACAAAAGCTTAGGACAGGCTTTGAAACTCGAAATACAGCACAGAGTGACCAGGCAAGAGTGATACTACTTCCGATAGTCACATATCTGAAGTTGTTCTAGTTATCGATAACATTTTCATGTTTGTATATTCTATAGCATTAGCCATTTTTTATGAGTTGATGGCTGCCTGAAAACCTATTTTATTTTAAAAAAATTTATTGAAATACCAAATCAGTTTTAGGTTATGCTCAGAAAAAGTCATGTCATTCGATCAGCTAAATTGGGAATATTCAGAGAACAAACACAGTGAACCAACTCAACTAATTTAGCAGTTGAGTTCGAGCTTAGAATCTTGTGCTATGCAATGCAAATTATATTTTAATTAGAATTCGATTTAAATTTTAGCTGCTAATCAAACTCACATCGAAACTCAATCAACACAGTTTGGCTGCATGGCTTGAAACGAACAAGCCACCTCAGAGAGTTTAATCAGAATGCCACGCCCCCTGCAGCCCATGTGATGCAAAGCATTGGCCATTTTGTGGCTGGCAAGTTGATTGGCCGATTTGCAAGTTGATTAGCCGCAATACAATTTGTAGCCAATGCAGCAGCTGGGTGGTCTAGGGTGGCGCTGCTGCTTGGTGCGTGTGACACGAGTGCAGTGCGAATGAATAATGTATGTAGAATGCGTGCCGAGCGCAACATAAAACGTCCAACACTCTTTCAATGCAATCAACTTTAATTGCTGATTACGTATACGACGCATTGAACGCTGTCCATTGCTCGCTCTTTATCTTGTGTTGCATTCCATTGCAAATTGTGTTAACAAAACGCTCGCAACAAAGAAAAATATATTTCAATAATTTGCTTCGCTTCTTCAATCTTTTGTTGTTGTTGTTGTTGTTGCTGGCTGCTGCTGCTGCTGCTGCTGTTGGCGCATAATTCGAAAATTGAAATTGCCATCACGTACATAACGCCGGCAGCGACGTCGCCTCGTCGCGTCGTCGTTGCGTCACTTGTCAACATGAATTTCCAATTTTCCGTTAACGTCGCACCGTTCTATACGCTCCCATTCCTTCTGCTTCTTCTCATTTTCTTTTAGCCGCTTTTGGGCACATACCCTAACCCAACCGAGTCAGGCCAGCTATGCGCACAGCGCATTCCACTCAGAGAGAGGCTGCGGGTTGCTCACAAAATGCCGAAGCTTCAGCTGAAATCAATATA